AGCCCCAGCCCCAGCCCCTGCCATACATAGCTCTTTGGCTCAGCCCTTTGATAACCTGAAGAAAAAAAAGTGTGCATCCAAGAGAAGCAAGCCAAAGAGCAATGCTTATGATTCCCACAAATTTTACCACGTTTATCTCATGTTTTGAGGCCCTTCCAAGGAAATATTTCACTCTAACACCATGCATGTGGCACAGGAGAGTCCCACGTCAAGCAGCCACCATGCAGGACACAGCGTAGTGGTGACAACCAATGCTACGAATTGCAGCACATTGTGTTGGCTGGGTTGTAGGTCAGAACTGCCAGAACCAAGGACAACTTCTGAGCGCATTGATCCATAATGGTTTCACATCAGGGGAGCTATGGGGATTTGGTCCCTTGAATCAGAAAGCCGACGGAGATGCTCTAACCCAAAATCCGTTCTCTTCCAAGTGAACCAACCTAAGCAGTCAGAAAGTAACTAAAGGGTTTGGCAAGGGCTTCACTTAACAAATCACATTACACACCATGCAAAATAGCCATCTACTCAACAACACATGACAGTATGTACCAAATGACCACTTGATCTGGTTCACAAAAAAAACAATCATTCCTAATAAGAGGGAATTTTTGCTGGCCAAGAACTGTGTGAACTCTTACTGTTAGGTGACCCACAGCGTGCTGGTAGCTGCTGCAGCTTTGTGCTCTCCCAAATCTATCTTCACATCATTGCAAAAAACCCTCACCCAGATCCTGACAGACATTGAGGGCTGTCTTCCAAGGAGAGCTTATTTTCATAGAAACTGGAACTGGTTAGTTAAAAAAATAAGTGAGTGACAGAATAACATTAGAGGGTCAGACTTAAGCCGACAAACAAGAAACAACACATGAGAGGAAAGCTGGACTTACATGCCTTTATCACTAAAGCCAGATATACCATAGGGAGTTACATGTAAACTGTGGGAAACTACCACCCACTGCTTTCATACACCAAGACCCCCTGCAATATCTCCTCCAAACAACATGAGTGCTAAATCATTACGTATTTTACTTAACACCTTTCAGAGAAAAAGAAAAAGCAAAAGGAAAAAAAAATATCAACAACCAAGAGTTTGAACCTTACACTACAAACTTTTTCCCAGGTAAATAATTTTTATTTAGGTGACCGCCCTGCAGTCAAACACAGACAATTCATATAAAGGTAGTGGATGTAAGGGTAGGATACGTTTTTTGCCACTTCAATGATGCTGGGGCAGAGGTGTGGGGAGAATGTACCAGGGGAAAAGGGGAAACTGTCATCTACATGGTCAAAAATATGCTCTCCAGGAGTGTGATCCACTGCCCCTGCAAATCAGTCTGCATCTGCATCACGACCCTGGGCTAGGTTTGTATTCCATTTTGCACTGTTTATCACACACTGAGAAAAGGGACGGAACTCCGCTCAGAATAGCACACCCTATTTGCAAGCCAAGCTAATCATGCATAATATGCTAAATAAGCTGCTCTTTAAAAGCAGCATTCCTGAAGTTAACTAAGCTTCCTTGGAAAACAGAAAAAGAAAGGACTAGCTGGGAAAGAGCAGGATTAATCCTGCACATGCATCTTCCTTTGAAGTCAATGGGAGTTCTGCCTGAGTAACAAGTGTGGTCCTAACCCCATCCACTGGCAATGAAAGGTAAACCACAGCAGCCATCAATAGGAGACACCTATTAGATGACCTCAGCCATCCCCCTGCCAAAGGCCCTTCTCCAATATACATTTGCCAGTACTTTATCAAGGGTAGTTTTAAGCTAAAAGCCATTGTGAGATGCAGCAATTTCTCTGGCAACTTGAAAAACTCCATTTATGGCTGTGTCAGGCACGGAAAGGGGAGCTGCACTGGTACGCACAGATTAGCATCAGGGCATGTGGCAAGAAGATGGGAACATGTCAAGATTTGTAGAGAGAAATCCCAGCATCGACAAAGTACCAAGTCATCTGCTGGTAAATCACTCCTCTCCACTGAAAGCTGTGGTCTCATACGCTGGGTTAGAGGGCACGATAAAGAATTGCAAAAAAACAACAGAAGTTTACTTTTCTTGATAACCCCTGCCTGAAGCAAACCAGAGGAAATTGTCCCCATAAGGACTCAACTACTAAATCTCTCTATATGAATTTGAAATGCTTCTGGGAGTGCTTAAACACAGATGACTTTAAACACTAATGGAGCTCTGGAATGAAAAAAAAAAAAAACCAAACCCAAAACACAACAAAAACCACCCCACAACAGATTTTGGACTGATATATGTTTGAGAGGGTTACTGAGACGCATTTAGCCTAAGTTCTGATAGGTGCCTTTAGGGAACAAAAAAAATATCTGAACTTCAGATTTAAACTGCAGGGGATTGTGTGTATAAATTGCTGTGTATTAGTCTTTGTTGCGTGGTAAGGACATTTCATTAACAGGATGAAAGATGCTTCTATGCGTATACAGCCCAATTTAATACACCCCACTGATGAATACTCCCCATTTATTGAAGAAGTTAATACATGCTGTATAAATCAATAGTTCCTAAGTCTCTGAAAGCAACATAAGACTTGCACGAGATGAAACATTGTATTGTTGAGCACACAAAGAGAAACCAACCTTCAAATAGGAAGAGTTTGTTACTGCAATTTCTGTTTGCAAATTCATAGCTTGTTTGGCTTTGGTAATAAAAACATGGTATCAACTCAAAGTCAGAGAAAAACACGCCAGAGAAGCCAGAGTATTCGTCCTTGCTGGGATAACGTGGTGTTAGTAAAAGCAGGTCTGCAAAAAAAGCCACCCAGGCTGAAAACACGCCATCATGCCACTGCAGCATCGAAGCAGTCAAACCCTTCGGGTCTCAGACGAATGGCCGGCGGAAGAGTCCACTCCGCCACATCCCCGGCCGAGCAGCCACGGGCAGGGCAAGGGGATGCTCCTGCCCCAGCACAGCCTTTGAAACTCTGGCTGCTGCCAGCACAGCTCCCGACCTTTTAAGTGTACTTAAAGCCTCAAGTCCTGTTTGCAAGGCAGGGACGGGCTGTCAGGCACCTCCCAACCACCTGCAAAAAGGAATGTGGCAAGGGAGAGACGTATCAGGCACTTGCACCCCGGACTCCCAGAGCCCCCTCCCCTCCCTCCACTATGAGTAATGGAGGAGGAATGAGAGCTCGCCATTCACCTTAAAACCTATTAATCAACAGACACTGAAAACAAATGGAGCTAGAGCTCCGCCTGTCTTTTTTGCCATGTCCTCCTCTTCCCCATTTCCCCACTGCTTTCCCTTTCTTCTGAAGAAAGATGGGCCCTGAAAGTGCCTTTATGAGCCTAATACAATAAAACAAAAGCAGCACAGAAGAGGGTTTGTCAGCCTTTTCCCCTCCTCCAGGGTGGATGCAGAAGGTTGACAGTGGTCTTGATTTAGCAGGCCCTCCTGGAGTTGCTCCCTGGGCTTAGCTAAGGGTACCATTCAATACCAATTCACATTAAAAAATAGGTTTATAACTTGTCTCCCTGTATTTTCCAGATGGTGCTATTGCAGTTATACTGACTATTGCCAGTGAAATGCTAACAAATGTCCCTGAGCTGCTCTGCAGTTCCAAAGATGTTCGTAAGAGAAGACTTTATTTTCTTCTGAAGGTTGATCTCTCCTTGGTTCTGCCTAGGAATGACACCCCCGCCCCAAATCAGAAAACTAAGTTGCAAGAAAAGGCAAATCCCAAAATCTTGCTACAAATATTTGAATATTCTTCCATTTCCATACAGGGTCACCAGCACCCAAGTGAGAGCACCCATCAGTAAGCACCAGTCTGGCCCTGGGGTCACCCACATCAGCAGCCACTCTGGGTGACACCCCAAGCTTTAATAAAGAAACTGCTAGGCATTCAGGTTAACCGAAAAGCTAAAGGCAACCAAACCCACCAGCTATACTAACTCGGTACTCATCCCCTACCCAAGCATAAAAATTCAACATCAGTGATGAAGCATTTCCTGAAAAAAATTCAAGATTTAATTTTACCCAGCTCCCTTTAGCTAGTGGAGTCAGAGTTTAATTTTTTTAAGGATGCTTTCACACCTGACTAAGCATTTTCTCCTGAAAACTACTTCCCCTTGCTCCATTATGGCTGATACAGTGGCCTGAGCCCTTTCACAGTTTAATGTAGCTGATTTCTGCCTAAGGTCCTGCCCTAAGCTAACTGCCCATTGTAGCAGGAGACAAGGCCTC